AAATGTAAGGAACAAAAGTTATTAATGATTCAAGTCACTGATGTCTTATGATTATGCTCATTCAACTGTTCAGCAGGCAACATTGGTGTTTCTGGTGCGAAGAATAGAGCACAAATATCTTGGCTACTATGTCACACTGCAGAATACAGTGTTGCCCACAGAACAGCTGCTTGATCATGCCATAAGATTAACAATCTCTTAAACATATAATAACAATTTAGTTTGACATTTGGCTGAAAAACAATATTGCGCAAAGTTGTAGCTTAGAAAATTTTCCGTAAGAACAGTCATAGAAATTTTCGAAAAAGCAATTTGGAAAGTGGGTAGAAGACAATGAACAAAAATGTTGGTTTTCCCATAGTAATTTCCACATAAACTTCGAATAGTTTGTGCCAAGTCAGTTTCTTACCAAACGAGTTTAAATTTTGGGAGGCTAATTAGGACCTGGTTTGAAACCGTTTGAGCACTGTGGAGTGAGAATTTCAAATTTTGCATCAGTCTAGTGTACATCATCCAGTAAGGTACCACGAGAATTGAGAAAAGCGTGATTGCTTATTGGGAGAGTGATGTGAAGAATCTCTCTTATAATTTTCTTTCCATCGATGGTAGCTCTGAAGATTATTTTCCACGGAAGTTTCTGTCGTGCCTTCCACTTAACCCCTTCCATTGAATTTTGCATAGTGGTCTCATCGATCTTATTCGCCGCCGAATTCAAGTTAGATTTAAACTGCTACTCAGTTTCCATGGATTTATTAGTTTTTTTTTTACATTCCGTTTGACCAAGGCTCAATACCGTTTGATAGGGCGGGGTTCTGGGCTGTTGGGAGGGTTTGGGTCTGTGGGTACCACAACCACGTTGTTCGCATCGTAAAACTCGATTGCCTTTTTCCCATAGTGGCAGCTCGCCAAGTCCGGCCAGAACAGCACAGGTCTATTATGTTTCTTTAGGAATGGTAGCAGCCGCTTTTCCAGGCACTCCTGGACGTAAATCTCTTGATTGATGGTTCCCGTAGTAATAAAAATGCCAGACGAGATATTTTTTGAGAACTTCGATAGTTTGATGGTTTTGAAAATTTCAGCCACCTTCCCTTTTCCTGATGCTGTATAAAACTCCTGTCCCGGAAGCTGCTTGAAATCCGCCTTCAAATAAGCTTCGCCGTCCATGACGATTCGTATGCAGCTTTCGGGACCGCTGCTTTGCCGAAGTGTTTTGTTTGTAATCTCGGTTCACCACCTTTACCTTCGTAAATGTCGACAACCTGGATCGTTTCTTGGCCCACGGCACAGTAGTATGGGAGACATTGAGCTTGCCAGCGACGTCTGTAGCAAGTACGCTTTATGATTCGCACATTATCAATGAACATTTACAAACTACAATCATAGTTATGTTTTCTATAAATTATTCATTCTGTTATATATTATTTATTAATTAAAATATAAAATATCGTTTTTCCAAATAAATCTTAAATGTGTTCACCGCAAAGGAACACCCATTATTAGAATGGGTAAAAGCGTTACACTAGCCATAAAACTGTTCAAATGAGTTCCCGTATACGTTAGCTACAAGCGCAAAGCCCATGTCCCAATAGCCTGTTGAGCGTGGCTTCTGGTTCACATTACAGCGTCGATTCGCGTGCATCGACCTGCGCCTAAAACAATTAGGAATGCATTGACCTTTCCTGTTCGGCTTTGCACTTTCCCGAACTCGGGAGAGGAATTTGGCTGGTAGATTAAAATTCGTTCGGTGGAATGAGATGTCACTATTTCTATAGGAATTGTCGCATGCTCAATTTTGAGAATCGGTTTCGTGATTTTGGCCTTCGTCTGAAATCGTGTTTACCGGGGACAAAGGTCACCAAGCGCGGTATCTGAGGACACACTTAGCCTTAACTCGTCCACTTTGTACTGATACGTGGAAGAGGCAAGAGTGGTCAGTTTTTGATCCGTGCCGTGGTGTGTGTTAAAAGGTGAATAGTAACATGTGGTCTCGATAAGGTGTTAACTTAAACTAGATTTTCCTTCCCCTAGTTAGCAGTAGTGAGCGAAGATAGATTAGCTATTTGGCGGTTAGTGGTTAGCGTGTGACTTAGAGCAAAAGGTAAAGTGCAAAGTTTGTAGATTGTGCGTAAACTAAGAGGGGAAATATGCGTCGTTATTTTCATAGATTCGTGGCAGCACACGTTTGCCACCACCATTTCGTTGGAACCACTCTTTGACCCCACCTATCCGTTGCAAAGATTCCCGGGGTACATCGTCAAGTCGCGCCCTGGGCAGGCAGGCTATTCGTCGAGGAGAGTACGTTCAGCCAACGTACACACGAGCGTTTGTACCACGCTGTCGCGTAACCCCGCGAATCGGTGAGGGAGACACATCATCAGCCCTTGTCGCATCCGCGATCGTTTCTGGGCCGGAGTAGTGCACCAAGCAGCTTCGGTACCGCCGCCAGTCTCCCCACCAAAGGACACCACGTAAAACCTAGAAAATGAATGCATGTTTGTTTGTGTCGTCCATGGCTATGTGACTTGTTTGAGGCACACTCAAATATGATTATCCCGTAAACCATCAATGAACGGGAGTAGCCCTTAGAATAACCTATTAAAGAAATGTGAAGACGACCATTGAAGCAATCGATCGCTGAGTTACCGCAGAGTGCTCACAGGAGGAATACATGGGACGGATACAATAAACTCACACGCTAGGAGAGATAGGTAGTACGCAAGGGGAAAGGATGACAAACAACTAGGCCTAGGCAATGAAAAGGGGAACGAAGCTACGAGAAATTAAGTCTTTGTATATGATTGTGCAAATGTTTATCCCGCTTGGAATAAATCAGTTTACTCTACACTGAATGTTTTCTGTTGTGTACCAATGAGAGATAGTTTGGTTGATGTATTTTGAGGCTTCATGTTACTTTGCGTTCGTTTTGTAGTTTTTGGTATTTGCTGTTTATTGGGTAGTCAGGCCGAATCTGACTAATTCTCTTCCAACTCTGGAATTGGAAGCGTTTCAGTACAAACGGGGACGATTAGGGCTAGGCCGGTGATGATAACCCCCGTTCACGTGTTCCTAGTCTTTGGCCGATTGTCGGAGTTTGATTTGCGTAAGTCTTATAGGAATTAGGGATATCTTGCGTGTCTTACGTGAAGTACACCGAACGCGTGTTAGTCAGCCAGTCGGCTTCCTACCCGAAATTCGGGAAACTTAATTCTCTCCCTAGGAAGGTCTCAAATCCGGGCAAGCTACCAACTGTTGGATGGTCTCCTTTAGGAGTGGCGCTTAAGCCATCCTTCTTTAAAAAGGGAAGCTCGACGGGCTGGCGCGTTACACGTCCCGGAGAGAGAGAGGTTAGGATTCCGCTTATATTTCACCGCCACCTTCTTCGTCGTCGCTGCCACGTCCGGATTACGATTGCCACCACTTCCAGGCTTCCTGTCGGTCGACAGACGTTCCCCGAACACTTTTTAAAACGATTGTCACGGTCGATTTGGCCACATCCAACTATTTTGCCAACTAGGAAAACTCATCCATAGCAACACTCAACTTCCAAATGCAGCATTTCAGGTTTTATAAATGCATTTTTTACAGAAATACACCAATTTGAAGTTGACCAATTTTTGCGCGTTCCAGACTTTATCAACCAATAGTCGGATAATCTAAAGTTAATGCATTTTGGGAACGATTTGATTCTGTATCGCGAACATTTAGAAGAGTATTTTATTGGAAACTCTACATCATTTCCCAAAGGCTTGTTTGTCATTGTCATAAATATCCAAACATTAAAAAAGCGTCGTGAATTTGCTATGATTTCTTTCGTAAACGATATCGTATCACATCGAATTGATTCAATAGAACTATTGTCATCCTTAAATTTATATACACCATCTAGGCATTTACGAAATAGAAATATATTTGCTACAAATCGTCATCGTACGAATTATGCCAAATTTGGACCCTTGAACCAAATGATGGATACATATAATAAGCACTGTGATAACATTGACTTTACAATGACAAAAACCAAATTAAAACAATATTTTAATTCGTCGCATAACGTCAACTAGAAGTAATGTTTTAACTTGTTCTTAAGACATATTATAAAAAATATAAACAAAGACAAAATTGTAAAAATAGCACTTAAGACAACAATTGTAAAACGGTCTACACTGATTGACGACAAATAAATAAATAAATAAATACATTGACAACAACGCATTTAATTATAACAGCATTAAGACTGCTACAACCAAAGTTTGACCGATTATAAAATTGATTCGAACGAGTTGTAAAATTTTCTAATATTCCAATGTGTAAACATTTTAAACCTTATACGTGACCTCTATCTGATATTTACCATTTTTTGCACAGGCTCATATTTTTGCGCTGTGATGTGAACTGAGGGTGGTTGCAATGATTACCGACACAGTTTTCCAAAGGGTACAGGTACCATAATTTTACGTAGTTTAACAACCCACATTGTTTAAAAACTCTCCGTGAAAACGGTGCATTTCGAACAAAACAGCTCGTTAGTCCGTCTTAAAAAGAAACACGAATGACTTCCACTACTGATCATGCCATGTCCAGATGAATTTGCCATTGTAAAAGGCGTTGCTGTCAGTTGATAATCCCACACTCAGCGTGGGGGCGCACTTTATGTTTCGCTATCAGGCAACAATTTGTTTGGAATGCTCTCCGAATGCATTCACCTGTTCGTTTAATTGGATGAAAATGAGTCGCCCTTCCATCATACGACCCATCGCTGAGAAGTGCGAAAAAAAGCCAGCTGAATTTCCACTACGCTACCCACCAGGAACGATTCTCGCTTCAGCACTTCGCTAACGAAGCTCCATTCAGCGAGCGCCCCAGCAACGTTCGTATAATTTCTGCGTGTTTGCCTCTGGGAAAATAATTAATTTTATCAACAATTCAACCCTTTCCGACTGAAGCCGGTGATGTTTCCCGATTATTAAAATGAATTTTCCACGTTTCCCTTTTTTTTGCAGACCCTGGAGAGCCATCAACGCGTTCGGAAGTATCCTTGGACAACCGGAACGATTATGAAATGCTATGACCCAGCACGACAAACCCGATGTCCTCGTGAACAGCAGAAGCACATTGGATTTGCATTTCCTTCTGCTACCATCATCATCATCATCAACCACGACGGGAACGGCCGGAGATCCTCGTTATCGCAGTGATAAAACAGCCCCGCCAGCTTGACACCCGTCGTGGGCCAGGACCCGGACAATTGTACACTGCAGTGTGGGAGGGCGAAATAAAAGAACGGATATTCCGAGTCAAAGATTATGACTTAGCTATGAGATGATGTTCATCCGACTCGCTTGACTCGGTTGATGAAGATTTGCAGCAGCAGCAACGGTATCGTCCGGAAGTGTTGGGGACACAAAAACAGAGTGCAAGCGTTGGAAATTAAGTGCAGATAGTTGTCATCTGGGCTGGGCAGCGAAGACACCAGCGAGGAGGACGACGAGAACTAGAGACGACTCCGGCAATTGCGGTACGTGGTCGGTCGGTCGTTCGTGTCTACGTGGAATGAAAATGAAAGACAAATAAGCCTCGCACCTTGGGGCGTCATCGGTGAAGAGGGGTAAGCCAGAAGGTGAAGAGGGTTCGAGTGAAGTGAAATTAAAAAGCTGGTTTCTGGTGACATCGGGTTTCAGTTGACGGTGGTCCCAGATGTGAAGTGGCGAGAAAATTTATACATTAGTGTTTTATTTCGTGCCCCAGGACGACGACAACGGCTTGGCACGATGAAACCGGGAAGACAATGAGAGTGGAAGCAGGGAAGACTTGCATGTGCCTCGCGCTGCGGAAAGAGAAGAGCAAAAATTGTGAGATTTGTTTCCAGAGTGATGCCACTGCCGGTAGTGAATTGAAAGCGACAGAAAAAAAACGTGCAAAAATCGCAATTTCCTCGCCAGGGTGAATCGGAATGGAAGAGGAAACTTCGTTATTAGCGAGCTGGAGTACAAAAAATTAATTCAAATTTTCCTAGCCAGAAATTTCAATTTTCCGTTGGTTTCCGTAGACGGCGGAGTGGGCAAAAAAGTGAATCGATTTTTGTCGACCGCTGTGGCAAGCAAGCATAGAAAAGAATTAGCTGCGGAAAAGAACTGCGACAAATCGGCAGATCGAAAGTGAAACAAATTTATATCGTTAGGATCGATCGGAAGATGAGAAACCCAATTAGTGACTCGATACCAAATCTCAGGAAGAAAAGTTGAAAAACGATCAAAGTGGTGCTCGAACGACGACAAGTGTAGCAGGGTTGCAAGCGAAAAATGTGGCTTAATCTAGTGATTCTGGGCACACTGTTTTACATGATGCGCCTGGTCAACGGCTGTCCGGCCGATTATTGTACGTGTAAGTGGAAAGGTGGCAAACAAACGGTTGAATGCGGTGGGCAGCAGCTTACTCGGATACCGGACGAGATGGACCCCGGAACGCAGGTCCTGAACTTTTCCGGAAACGGACTAACGCTCCTGCCAAACGAACGCTTCAAAAAGATGGATCTGATCAATCTGCAGAAAATCTACCTGGCGAGAAATCAACTCATGAAAATACACGAACGAGCATTCAGAGGACTTACGAATCTTGTAGAGCTGGATCTCTCCGAAAATGCATTGAACGTCGTTCCCACGGACACCTTTAACGATTACCCTGCATTGATGCGATTATCTCTCAGTGGAAATCCCATCCGAGCTCTACAGACAAATGCCTTCAAGCTTCTATCGTTTCTTACCACCTTAGAGTTGAGCAACTGCCAGATTGAACTAATAGAAGATGAAGCCTTCATCGGTATGGATAATTTGGAGTGGCTTCGCTTGGATGGTAACCGGATAACAGCCATCCAAGGTAATCACGTGCTACCGGAAAACCTACACGGCATCAATCTCCAAGCGAATCGATGGCAGTGCGATTGTCGGCTCCTAGACATTCACACGTGGCTCAACAGTTTCAACGTTCCACAGCGTGAAGAACCCAAGTGCTCCGGACCACTACGGTTAGCGGGTCAGATAATCAAATCACTTCAACACGAAGACCTAGCCTGCCTTCCGGTCATCACTCCGGACTCACTTTACCGGGAAATATCCGAAGGTCGAAACATGAGCCTAACCTGTAAAATATCTGCCATTCCAGAAGCCTCCGTGTCCTGGTGGTTCCAGGGTCAACTCTTACAAAACGACAGCCTGCTGGCGTCCAACTTACACCTCTACCACTACAGTGAAGACTCCGGCGAAGAGAAACGCAGCGAGCTTCTCATCTACAACATCAGTCCCGAGGACAACGGGACATTCTCTTGCATAGCGGAAAACTCAGCCGGACGAATTCAAGCAAACTACACCTTGCATGTCATAGTCAAAGAAGAACCCGTTGTAGAAGAGGTCACCTTCTCACAGGAATACTTCCTAATCATAGTAGGAGCCAGTGCGGCGACCGGTTTCCTTCTGTTTCTTACACTGTGTATAATCATCTGCAGATGTAGCAAGCGTAACAGTAAGCGTAACTCTAGCAAGAAAACCCGTGGAAAGTCTGGGTCTGACACAACCGGCAACAATCAAAAATGTTCATCCATCACCAACGATATCGGCGAACCGTTGACATGTGCAAAGATCAACGGAACAGTTGCCATCAGCGAGAGCAATCCACAGGATGTAGTTCTCTATCTCAACACGGGAAGCAATCTCGAGAAAGCCGGTTTGAGCAATCTGCAAATCGGAGGCCAAGTGCAGTTTTGCAGTCCTCCTTCGGCTCGCAGCTACCAGGATCAAAATCCTGACCTCATAAACGACGCAGAAAGTGGGAATAAAATCCGAACAAGATCTGACGCGATGGATTCGGACGTCGGAGAAAAAGACTCAGATGAGCAGAGCAGCGTCCAAGATGCCAGTAGTGAAGCGAGTTTCCAACAAAGCTACTTCCAAACTCCTATGGGTATTCGACCCATGGGTCCACGAATTTCCGCCCTGTCAACACTGCCTCGAGGAATGAGCAAGGATATGTATCAACACCAGGTGGACATTCATCTCAGTCCGGGATGCTTCCTGGACCAGAATGGCTACCCCATCGATATTAACCTAATGACACAGGGTGGTCCCACCGTGAACTACTACCGGACGCTGCCGCATAACCGAGGCCAGAAGGGACAGCAACCGAACAAGGTGCGCTACTCGAATGATGCCGAGTTCATCACGCGAACGTCACAAACCTATCAGCTTTACGGTGCACCGGGGGACATCCGATACACGGCCGAAGGCTACCCCCAACAGGCATCGGGCAGTGAAGCCACGGGTACCAGTCAATTTCCTTCACCACCGGAAGGCTACAAAGGCGATCCGACTGCCGTTTCCGGTGTGCAATCGGTGACCTACATGAACCCACCGGCAGCGTTCTGCGTAGGCCCGTCAACACCCCAGCAGTGGCCATCGTTCCTACCGGGCTATCATCCCCATCAGCTGATACCGATCGCCGGTCAAGTGGGAGCCGATTTCAACCGATACTTACCTCCACTGGGGATGGGCTGTGCTAACGCAGCTGGGAGCAGCAGTCCATCGGCGCCGGTTCCGGTGCTGAAAAAGTGCGTCGGTGCCCAGACCGGTGATATGCTGGACAAGGACGTAATCCCGGAGCAGTGCGAAGATGACGAGGAGGAAGCGGAACACGAGAACGGGTCTAAGCTGAGGCACCTGTCCGGGCCGCTGGCGGACAGTCCGGACGAGGGCTACGTCGGCGAAGGGCACGAATCGACGGACATTTGACAAAAGATGAAACCTCCGATTCTGGATAAATCGAGCGTGCTGCACACTTCCTCCTCGATACAGCTGGAATCGGGCGATGTACCTTTATAAGAGGGTGAGTGTGCTCGGGTAGGTGGCGTGATTATGTGGACGAGAGTGTGAGAGTGGGTGTGTATTTTGTAGGTGAGGTATTTTATAAAAGAGGAAATTTAATAAACGCGATAGTTGTTTGTGAGAGGGGGAAACGGGCAAGTTTCGGCATGCATATTGGAGATGGAATCTAATGTTTACATTTGCGAGTTTATCTTTTTTTATCTGTGCATTGAAGAATGCATCGCTCTGTGCTCGGAATTATGGTTAATTTAATATGATTGAAGATATTTTATGAAAGCGATAATTTGTAGCAAAATCTGTAAACGCTTGATTTTATTTTTCGGTTAACTTAGGTCTGCTAGGCATGCAACGGAAAATCCTGAGAAACCTGATTTCTTTTTATTGTGTAGACAAACAATACAAACAATTAATTTTTCATTTAATTTGCCAAACACGTTTAGAAATGTGTTTTTTTTTTGTGACCGGAATATGAACCCTGGAGACCACGGGATGGTTGACCGGTAGATCCGGAACATGTGTAAAAGTGATCAATTCATGAAACTGATCCTAGGGTTCCTCGTTTTTGTCGAAACCACTCACGCCTTATCAAAATGAATTCAAAGTTGTGACCAGAATATAGACCACGTAATTTTTTTTCCTGGATTTGTTTTCCATCGATCTTATTTTCCGTACTGAGTTCCAATGTTGCCAACGCCAGGGAGGCAGTTTCCACAACTGAATCGTACCTATCGACCCATCAACTAACTCATGGACCTACGGCTTTACTTCCTTTCCGAAGGAAGGCGTGATCAGAGATTTTTTTGTCTCAGTAAATCCCGGCGGTGTTGACTGGGATTAAACCCAGGCCTTTTGGGGTGAGAGGCAATCACGATTACCTCTACACCACCGGCGCCGCTGTGGTTTATTCATGAAACTGATCCTATACATCCGCGGTTTTTTTTTTTCTAAACCTCTCATTAAAGCCTTATCATAATTAATGTGAAGTTCTGACCAGAATTTGGTCTCTGGAAACTACGAAGTGGTCCACTAAAACATCCGGAACATCCATAAAAGTGGTCCATTCCTGAAGTTTAGCCTAGAGCTCCGCGGTATTTTCAAAACTACTCGTAGACGTCTTATCACAATTAATTAAAAATCAGACTACAGACACTGCACAGTGGTCTAGAATGCAGATTTAGGTGAAAGGATATGTTCTGAGCCTGTAATATAAAGTTTATACTAAAAGTCTCTCCAATTAAAATGTTTCTTATAGTTAGGTCCTCATTTTTATGATAATGAATTTTAGGGTGGTTCTTATTATCATTGAAATCAAAAATCTAACTTTTTGTTTGTAGAAATTAAGGCTGTGTCATCATGATCATTTTTTCAGAACAATGTTTTTTTGGTTCCATTCGGGGTCTCAAACAACTGTGCAAAATTTGGGGACGATTGGCTGTAGCCCGGCTTTCCGCATTGCGTTTGAAATTTGTATGGAAATTAGTATGGGAAAACCTACTTTTTGCATCTTTATTACTAGGGACCACAATTTTGCACAAACAACGCGTCAAAATACGTTAAAGTATAGTCCAGGAAGTGCCTAACAACATTGCTGAAGGATGTGCGGTGCTAGAATGCCAATAAAAAAAGTTATAGCTGTTCAAAGATCAATGTTTCGAATTAAATGCCAAAAATCCCTTTTCCTGACAACACTGCCGGTGTACCAATGAAAGTCAGACTCCAAACTGAAATAACTTCGGAGTTTCTTATCTTATCGATTTGGTATGTTCAGATGAATCATTCACAAACAATTTTTCAATCTCATCTTGCCCTCTTCGCTCATATAAATGGAAGTAAAGCTTCAAACTGCAATAACTTCGGTGCTACTGATCTTGTCAAGCTGGTATGTTTAGATGTATTCAAAAATATGTACTCGATTTAATAGGCGTAGTAAGATATGGGGGGGGGGGGGCTTACTGTATGCTTTCCGGTTCTCACTTTTATCAATGAAAGTAAAGATAGAGACTAAAATAACTTCGGAGCTACCCATCTCTCGAGTTGTTCGGATGGGTTATTCAAAACATTTGCTTAATCTCATAAAGCAGTTGTAAAGCGAGTACCCCATTTTTCCTTCCCTACTATTTTGGTGTAATATACAATGTCAGATACATTCACACAAATTTTATTGGATTGTAATGATTATATTTCAGTTTAATTCTACGATCTCTCAGGGTAATGTTTTCAATGATGTTCTATCCCCCGAAGCAAATATTGCTGTTGAACTAGGTCTCAGGTGGATCTCTTGATAAGTCAGAAATTAGCTTCACCCCTCATCCAGCCATATCATTGACAACCATCAAGGAAGCAACTCGTTAATCTGTATCATTACTTCACTCGTTTGCCGGTTTTTGCTTGAAGCCTTTCGAAATTTCTAAAAGGAATCAGCACTGTTGGAAATGGCGTTTGTTTTGAGAACCCAACTAAAGCGTAGTCCACTTATAGTTAGCTCAATAAGCGAAATCCGAATGTACCTGTGTCTGAGGCAAAACTGGTGAAGACAGTTTACGTTTTCTCCTGTGGTACGACTACTTCTGTGTTTTCTATATGCGGTCGGCCCGCATCTTTAAATAGAAATAAGCAGTTGGACTAATAATTCAAACAACATCTCCTCACTAACAAATGAACGAACAAGGGGATATTAAATATTTACTCTACAACAAATTTCGTTTTAACAACTGCATATAGTAAGCCCACACCCCCGCTCTCTAACTACGCTTATGAGATTGAGCAAATGTTTTTGAATAATTAATCTTAACATACCAAATCGATAAGATAAAAAACTCCGAAGTTATTTCAGTTTGAAACTTCACTTCTATTGATATGAGTGAGGGGGCGGGCGGGGTATATTATAACCCCCCCCCCTTTCCCTCCAACTACACTTATCAGATAGAGCAATTGTTTTAGAATAATTCATCTGAACATACCAAATCGGCAAGATAAGAAACTCCGGATTTTTTTCAGTTTGGAATCTGACTCCTATTGGTACACCGGCAGTGTTGGCAGAAAAAAGGATTTTTGGTGTTTAATTCAAACCATACATATTTGAATAGCTGTAACTTTTTTTTTATTCATTCTAGCACCATAATTTCTTAGAAAAAGTGGTTAGGCACTTCCTGGACTATATTTGTGGGGTCTAGGGATAAAATTGTGGGGTCTAGGGATAAAAATGCAAGAAAGTTGGTTTTCCCATACTAATGTCCATACAAATTTCAAACGCAATGCGGAAAACCGAGTTACAACCAATCGTCCCTAAATTTTGCACAGTTGTTTGGGACTCCAAATGGAACTAAAAAAGGGTTGTTCTCGATTGGTTAGGTAAAGTTTGCGTTTTTCCATGTAACGATGACCCACCCATTTTTTTAAAATTTATAGTTGGGTTATTTTTATGTGGTCCTATGAAAACCATCTTTTGCCGTTAGCTTTTTTAATTAAAATTTCTCATGAAAGTCATCTTCTATAGACTTTAAAAGCTCTTTAAGATAAATGTTTAACAACAAGAGTTGTTGTCTGTATCTCTTCTAATAAAAAAGATGTACCCAATTATAATAAAATATATGAATAATATCAAATTGATTTTATACGAGTCTAAAAACAACATACCTCTATTTTTTTTCCATATTACTAAGAATAACATGCGCCCTTTCAAATGCCATTAAAAATCTTTTTTTTTTTGCCCCAACCAGAGATATTAACATTTTTGAAAGGGGGTTATTTTTAGTAGGAAAACGTCAATAACTCTTGATCGGTGAAAGATATCGACAAGCTTTATGCGGCAAAAATTTGCGCCTCCTAGAGATATAAAATTTATTTCCAGACACCTTTGCTCAGACAATTGCTATAAGAAAACTAGAGAAAAACAACTGATTTTTTTTCAGAGACACCCTAACTCAATTCAAGAAAAGAGCTCAAAATCGTTCAATTTGAGAGATACTAAAAAGATCTCTTTTACAAAGTTGCTTGAAATTAGCTCAGCTATAACTTTTAAAAGAATGTATAACTTAATTTCTACATCCAAAAAAGTTATGTTTTGGTTTCAATGATAATAAGAACCACCCTAGAATCAACTGTCATTAAAATTAGGGCCTATTTAGTTTGCAGAAGAGACTTTTAGTCTAAAATTTCACTTTAAGGCTCTTTTTTTTAACTAGTTTGTTTATTTGAAAGGCTCAATCGCGTTAGCTTTACGGTGCCGATAGTTCATTGTTCTTTGTTTGTAACAAAATTCACTTAATTCTATGTCTAGTAGGAGTTGAGCCGAACACTCGTGGCTTACTCGAGGTCAGAAAGGCACATTGTCGAAGGATTGGATCAGGGGAGGAGCTGGGGGTAAGGTTTCGTTGTCTCATCAGAGCGTTGTCACCAGTATGAACGGCAGTGCGGTTCTAGTTTCGTCTGGAGTTCGACCGGCTATGGTGACCAGTGGGCGACGATGAGACTCATGGAGACGGGGGACAAGCCAATCAAAAACTATTATAGATAGACAAAAGACAAAGGAATTAAATTATTATACTAGACATTTGAAGAAACACATAAACCGACTGCATATAGCTGATATCGCGAGTTCCCAATACGTCACTGATAGGAACATAGGGTTGTCTTCCTTGGGCCTCAAGGGTATTCAAAAGTCGCTCTCTGGCGGCGTTATTATCCATACATTGCCAAACTGCGTGATCGATGTCATCGTAACCGTTTCCACACCGACAGATGTTGCTGTCCACGAGGTTTATTCTATTGAGATGCGCATCTAGCGAGTAGTGGTTGGACATAAGTCTACTCATCACGCGAATGAAGTCACGACTTAAGTCCAAGAGAGAGAGCTCCCAGAAACGGTTCTGGAGGGGTGTTACTCCTGCCAGAACCTCGACACTCATGTTATGCGTTGAGAGCATACAGCCGAGAGCAATACGCAGGCAACGATATTGAATTCGTTCCAATTTTATTAGGTGACATTTTCTTGCCGAGAGAAAGCAGAAAGAGCCGTACTCTATAACAGAGAGAATAGTTGTTTTGTAAAGTGTTATGAGGTCTCCCGGATGAGAACCCCACCAATCCACCATGTGCCGCAAATTGAACGGAGAAAGTTGATCCTCTGCTGACATTTTTGCTTCAAATACGTAATATGGGTATTCCAAGTGCACTTTGAATCAAACCTGACCCCAAGGTACTTGAAAGACAATGATTGAGTAATGTTTCTGCCCAAAAGATTAAGCTGCATTTGGGCTGGGTACCGCTTTCGAGTAAACACTACCAGTTCAAGTAATCTAAGGAACTTTGCAATGCACTTTCAGGCTCAAAACATATCCTTCCACCTAAATCTGCATTCTGGATCGCTGTGCACTGGTGACC